CACAATTGCATTTGGGTCCTGGTATTTTGCCCCATTTAAACAACAGGCCTGCACAGCTGTCAAAGCCTGTTCATATTCTATTAGCTGGCTTCCATAGTTTATGTGGGAAGTCAAACTCTGCGGGCCTCCCTTGGTGGCTATCAGGTTATGGATATCGGGTGGAACTGATTGCATCCATGTTCGCAACCATTCATTCCCTAGATCGAAATTTTGTGATTGCAGGATTTGTGCAGATCTTATTGCTGGGTGTCAGGAGCTTAGTCTGGGTAGTAGGCCCACATCAACCGTGTCTTTGTGGATTGGCAACTCTCTGTTTTAAATGATTTTTCTATATATCAATGGCCTATATGCTCATGTCTTTAAAAGAAACCTGGTTATAAGATGCCCCAGACTAGCCTGATGTTGCCAGATCTTGGCTGCTAAGCAGTGTTGGCTCTGGTTAGTTTTTGGATGGGAGACCACCAAAGAATTCCAAGGTTACACTGGAGAAGAAGAAGGCAATGACAAATCACCTCTGAACGTCTCTTGCCTTGAAACTCTACGGGCTCACCATAAGCTGGCTGTGACCTGACAGCACTTTGCACATGATCATAAGAACATACTACTGCTAATTCATTTTATGAGATGGTCCCAAGTTTTAGGGCCGGAATGCATTCTCTGTTAACTGTCTTCATTCATAGTTTTATAGTTCTAGTGCTTCCTGCTCAGTTGTCTTTTTCCTTGGAAAACCTCAAATGCTTAAGACTTTAATCTGCTAGTTCTATTATATCCTTTTATTACATGAGGTGACCAGAACTGGCCAGTTTACGGGACATAGTCTGACCCCATTCTCTTCTACATTCTAATTTTTAAAACACAAAAGATGAAGATGTGACTTTCCTGCCTTTAACTGGCACAAAAACAGTGTGCTTTCCTCCTAGAAGAATTGGAAGGAAGCTTGGAAGGTTGCTTTTTCACGTGTTCTCATAAAACACCCAAATATGGACCTGTTAAGTGAAACATACCAGTGCTGAATATGTAGACAGGACCCATAAAAAATCTAGGTTCTCATGATGTATTTATCCAGGAGTAATTATCTAGACTATCAGTAATCACATAATATTTCCAGCAAACGACCCTAAATCAGATGAGAGATGTAGAGCTAGAGTTGCCAACCTTCTGGTGGGTCCTGGAGATCTCCCAAAATTACAACCCATCTCCATACTACAAAGGAGAGTTTCTCTGGAGAAAATGGCTGCTTTGGAGGACGGACTGTATGGGATTATATCCTGCTGAGGTCCCTCCCCAGTTTCCATCTCCAAATCTTCAGGAGTTTCCCAACCCAGATTAAACCACCCTTAATTTTAAGGATAGAAGAGTTAAATGATGGTTTATATTAATTCTCACCTGGTCAGCATGTGATATTTTTTCCTCAAAAGACAATGACCATAGGGTTGAAGTGATAGTAATACTTAAAAGGGAAAAGTCATATTATCTTACAGTCATAAGTATTAAAGAACGGAGCACCCATATGAATATAGCCCTCTGCCTATGTGAAAACCAGTGTAGTGCAGTAGTTAGAGTGACAGATGAGAAGTGGGAGATCGAGTTTCAAAGCTCTACTAGGCCCATGAAACTTAGTAGCCTTGAGTCAATCACTCTCTTCTATGCATCCTTCCTTGAAGGTGACCATAGTAACATACACGGTTCTCCCTTCCTCCTTTTATCCTCACTATAACCCCATGAGGTAGAAGAAGAAGAAGAGAAGGTCTTTATACCCTGCTTTTCTCTACCTTAGGCAGTCTCAGAGCAGCTTACAATCGCCTTTCCCTTCCTCTCCCCACAACGACAGACACCCTGTGAGGTAGGTGGGGCTGAGAGAGTTTTGAGATAATCAGGGACTGGCCCAAGGTCACCCAGCAGGCTTCAGGTGGAGGAGTGAGGAATCAAACCCGATTCTACAGATGAGAGTCTGCTGCTCTTAAGCACTGCACCACACTGGCTTTTGTAGATAGGTTAGGCTGAAAGAGAGTGTCTAGTCCAAGGTCGCCAATGGAGCTTCATGGCTGACTGTGAATTTAAATCCAAGTCTCCTGGATCCTACTCCAACACCCTCGCCACTAAACTACACTGGCTCCTTTCAGCCTGATTTACCTCACTTGGTTGCTGTGATAATAAAATAGGGGAAAAGAGAACCAAGTATGGTGGGATTTTAAAAAGTGGTATGTGGAGGTATTTGTGCACCTGCTGCTGTAACAGATAATTTTCTAAGTGGGGAGACAAACACATATATTTCAACCTCATAATCATGTAGATGTTTTATTTTTTATTTTACTTCATTTGTACCCCGCCTTTCTCTCCAATGGGGAGTTCCAAAGTGGCTTAAATTATTCTCCTGTCCTCCATTTTATCTCTCAACAACCCTGCAAGGTAGCTTACGCTAAGAGCATGTGACTGGCCAAAGGTCATCTAGCAGGCTTCCTTGGGACTGGCCAAAGGTCATCTAGCAGGCTTCCATGGGAAAGTGGGGATTTGAATCTGGGACCCCCAGACCCTAGTCTAATATTCTAACCAGTACACCATGCCGGCTTTCTTATTACTTGTAAGGTGGCAGAGAGTTTGTGGTTATAAATTAGAAAACACTTCTTGTTAGTACATGGGCCTAGTGATTTTTTGAACTGTTAGTCTGGGACAATTCTCATATTGCTAGTATCATTCATGGAGGAACTCCCCGTGACTGACCCCATGACTACTCACAGTTTGATATAGGTATGCTGGGTAAGTAACCATTCTTCCTATGCAGTTAATGTGTCACTTGTGAAGTTAATGTCTGTACATGTGCAGTTAGGGTTGCAATCTGAAGAGTTCCAAAATAACACATTAAAAGTGAGACTGTAAGAACATTATGTTTTGTGTGTTAGAGAACATTATCATTTAAATAATTTATATTACATTTAAGGGTGGTTTTTCCCCTTTCATGGTTCATCTCTTCTTTTCCATAAGTATTTTTGTTAATACTGAATAAGGAGCAGTAAGTTACCTGAAATAAAGAACAAACGGCAAGCCTAGCAGATGTATGGAAATTCCCTGAATGGGATAATACAATTAGAATTTTATTGCTGTTGTATTATTATTTCCCTGCTTGCCAAGAAACCTGGGACTATAATAAAAAAACCTCCAAACTAGAGAATTATTTGAAGATTATTCTGATTGCTTTCAAAGTGCGTTTCCACAAAATATGCTTAATCTGGTTTTACAATTCCTACATTATAAATAAAATGAAATACTTTACTTTGACAAGAATGTATATTTTGTATTAAAACACCTCTATTTAATTTTGAATATCACACTGATACCATTAATAAAAGACTTGTGCCATTGAACTGAACTGGCTGACTACAAAGTCAGTATACACATGTAGCATTATTGTGAAAAACTCAAAGACAGAAGATTTACTAGGCAACATACAGGCAACATAGAGGATTATGTATACACACAGTTCTTTTGTTGGTTCTCTATATTTGTTAAGTAATTACTAAATTCTGCAAATTCCAACTGGGAAGTATTGCAACTATATATATTAACAGATAGAAATTGTTCTCATCAATCAAAGTTAATTCATAATGGAAAGTAGTTGATAATGATTTTTTTAAAGGGTTACATATGCAGATACAGAAAAGAGTGACGCACCAATGCAGAATAAAGGAGAAAAGGGGGGAAATGGTGCAGTGTAAAAAGAGAGAATCTTTGCGTTTTACGCCCAGCTTCATTGGGGGATTTGTAAGGCAGCCCTCTCTTATAGTGTTCCAGCTATAATATTGCCTGAATCTCAATGACTGCATCCTTCACACCATGGTGTAGTTTTTACCATCCCTCCTGATCACACAACTGTCTGTTAAGTGAAAAGACAAATCAGATCAGTTAGTCTTGTTTTCCAAATCCTTCTATATATTTAATCAAGGTTAATGTGCAGAATCTGAAGAATTTTAGGTTCATCTAAACTCTGTTGAAATGAAATGTGCTGTTGTTTGTGCGTCTGCAAACCATAGTTGAAACCACTGAATTCAGCAGGACTTACTTCTGAGTAAACATATTTAGGACTTGGGTCTCATGGGTTACAATGGGTTTGGGTTGTGTTTAGGATCTTCACTTTGTACTTTTTAAGGGTATACAATGATATAGAAGTTTCTAGACCATATTTGTGTGAGATCTTACAGTGCTATCCAAAGCAGACATACACCCTTCTAAGCCCAGAGACTTCTATGGTATTAGAAGGGTAGGATTGCACTGTTAGAAAATTATGAGATGCACAGAAATTAATGGCTTTGAAATAAACGCAATGAAATGTATTAAAAGGAGAAGACATCACCACATCTGGAATGAAAGAGGAATACTTATATCTCCAGGGCAATAAAACCAAACCAATACATCCACCTGGGTAGGAAAGAGCTTATGTTTTTATCTCATTCTTTGTTTTTGCCACTATTTAAGTTTGAGGAGTTGAGAAGATTGGGTCACATAAGAGACAACATATTTCACTGTAAATTAATGTAGCAAGTTCTAAGCAAAGATTATTTTAGAGATGTCTAGACACTGAGCGTGAGAGTAAACTGCCTGGGATTTATAGAACAGAACACTGTACTCTTGATCATGCTTTTCTTCTTAAAATATAGCCAGATATTGTGAATTCACAGTCCTATCTTTGACAATAAATTGCAATATTATTACACAAAACTAGTGTTATCAACCACAAAACCAAGTGTTCAAAACACTTTACTATCTTCTACCCACAAAAATAACTTGGTGCCATATCAGCGAAAGCACACAGAGGTCGGAAACAGAGAAGAAATGTTCACTTCCTGTGCCTTAAGTAATATACCTCTAACTTTATACATCAAACTCCTCGATGCAGTTCCAAGTATCAGAAGTACAGCATTCTTCAACAACTCCTAATTTTTTGCTTTGTGCTCTACCCATAAAACCAGAGAAACAAATCAATCATTGATTCCAGATATACTCACAGGGGAAATGAGGGAGAATCCTTCCATTTTGCAGGCTTGCAACATTCAGCCAACTTCTTAGTAAATTAATTCTCTAATTTCAGTGATCCAAACCAAAGAGGGGAAAATATGGAATTCCTTGAAGTCCCTTTTTCATTGAATAACCACAGAACAATAAAATCCCTAATTAGTTTTCATACTTTCCCTAAAGAGTTCTAAAGGTGAGCTCTTTCCTCAGGCGTATCTGAAGTTCCTGATTTTGTGAAGTAACTGTAGAATGGAGATAGCCCTTGAGTTGTTGCAGCCCTGTGTGACATCAGAACAGCCTCAAACCCAGTTTGCATAAATCTCATTTCAAGGAGTTGTGGCATTAACAGGAAGTCTGTCGCCAGCCTGAGATCAGTCTTGGGCAGGTGGTTGCTACACACTACACAATATAAGCCTAGCTCAGGCAAACAGAAGCAAATCGGTACAGAGAGATAACATTTCTAGAGGCCAAAGCTTCCATACGTATGGTGTGATAGTAGTTCTTCTCTTGGGAATGGTTAAATCATCATTTGGGACAACCCACTTTGGAGCAGTCATTCAGGACCATCAGCCTGACCATAATAATAGTGTTGTATACTGAACTGTAAAAATGAGATATGAAAAAAATACTACATTGTTGATGAAAGTTGATACCTATTAGGCCTTAGAAGAACACCAAGGTTTCAGTAAGAATCCATTAAAATAAAGTTCTTGACAGAGAATGGACAATCATGAAGGTTCACATCCTATTTACACTAAAAGCTCATATACTGTTTTTATAACACTTCACCTACCATATGATTTCCCTAAGAATCCTGGGATATATAGCTTGGTAAGATGCTGGGAATTCTGATAGGAATCCTAGTTTCCCCAAGTGGAAATGACTGTAACAAGTCTGAAATGTTGTTGTACTAGACTATTAGATGAGGCAGTGGTTTTAATGTTTTTATTCTCCTAGCCTGTATACTTTCATTGAAGCAAAGCAAACCATACTCTTGCTGGTAGTAATATTGTGAACAATTTTCAGTTCTGCAATAAGAACAAAGTGGTTGCAAAGATCACATAGAGCAACTGGGCCTCAGGGGAATGAGTCAAACATAGTATGAAGCTGGACTTTGTAACTTTGTGAGACTAATGTTCTCTTTCACTCCTCAAACTAGTGTTCATTGTTTGTGTTTATGAAAAGTGATGTTTGATCTTTTGGGTTGTTTCCTTTAGCTATATGGCCTGAGCTACAGAGGGTTCTGCTTTTTTCCACAGTCTTCCTTTCACTGTTTATCTTAAATAAGGTATTAAACTTAATTTCAGAATCAAGTGTAAACTTCTTCCTTATGCCCTGACCAAACTAAGGTTATAGATTCCTTTCCTTCATTTGTCAAGAATTTCCCTTTTTCTGAATTCCAAATTCAATATATAAGCAAATTAAAACCAAAACGTGTTTGGGGAAGTTAAGAACATTTACTCCTAATATTTTGGATTGCATTTCTTCAGTGCTGGCAAGAACATTGGTCAAATTCCCAGTTTGTGGCATAAGTAATGGAACTAAATAGGGAATCTCAAATTCCAGAGGTGGAAGGAGTTGGGCCTCTGAAAAGACTCTGACCAACCAGTTGAAGAAGCAAGCAGAACCCTATAAGGAGAGTGCAAGGGCACGCACAAATAGAAAGAAGGTGCTGGCTGTAAAAAATTATTTATTTACTTAAAACATTTTTATGCTGCCTTTCTGCAGGCTATGAACTAGCTTCTTTAAGGGGAGTGCAACCCCATCCAGAACGGGATAACCCATTTCCTGGGCCAGAATTCTCCCCTACCAGTAACACCTTCATTTTGTTGGGATAAAGTTTTAGCTTGTTAGAACCTCACCCATTTCAAAATTGCCTTCAGGCATCTGTTCACAGTTCCCACAGATTCCCTTGAATCTGCTGGTAGCACAGGACAGAGCTGAGTGTCATTTGCATATTGGTGGCAACTCAGCCCAGATCTCTCACAGCAGCTTTACATAGATATTGAAAAGCATGGAGGATGGAACTTTGGGGAACCCTATGGAAAAGAGGCCAAGAAGCAAAGCAGCAGTCCCCCAGCACCACACGTTGGCCTCCTTGAGGGTTATGGGAAATATTTGTGCCTAACATATGTTGTTGTTATTAGCCATTCAGTCGTAAGCAAAGCAGCAGTCCCCCAGCACCACACATTGGCCTCCTTGAGGGTTATGGGAAATATTTGTGCCTAACATATATTGTTGTTATTACCCATTCAGTCATATCCTGACATATAGGAGTTAGCAATTATCTGCAACAGGCTGAAGAGTCTGTGTATTGGCTTGGAATGAGCACACGGTTGTGATCATATGTGTAAATTGCAAGACCCACTGGGCCCATGATAACTAAAACAGAAAAAGCCAAAGAGCTTCCCATATGGTAATTGTACAAGATAGGCACGGACTTGTTTACCTTTTCAGGAACACTACTTCATAACAATGATGACTCTTTCAGCTGGTGGGAAATTAATACTGTATAGAATACAGAAACTAAAGAGATGATATACAAAATAAAAGTGCGATTTTCCAAATAAACCCAGCTCATGTGTAAAATTTAGAGAATGTTAACGGAATATGGGGGATATGGAATGGTATAATATAGCCCAATCTCATCAGATCTTAAAAGCTAAGCAGGGTTGGAACTTGGATGGGAGACCATCAAGGAAGACTCTGCAGAGGAAGGCAGTGGTAAACCACCTCTGCTTAATCACTTGTCTTGGAAATCCTATGGGGTTGCCATGTCAGCTGCAACTTGACAGTACTCTACCCACACACGTGGGAATATGTCCACTTTACCTCATCTTCAACACATCCACAATATAAAAAAAAGTGCTGCATAAGCCCATCATCTCTGACTGACAGCTATTTGCCTGTTGTGGCCCATCAAAATACAGCATCACCAGCTGCAACAAACTTAAAGACCTGCTGGTTCTGGAACATGTAGGAAATAGCAGAGAGGAGATAGCCTACAATCAAAGGAGACAAGCAGCGTGTTACAGCAGTTAAGCCTAAAAGAAGGAGTTCCAGCCTGTGGGAAGAAAAACAGAAAAATACGGTAATGTGGAGCTGTGACAAGAAAGGTGGTTCCTGGATCCTATTAGGTAACCATACACTGGACTATGGCATGATCACAGACATCTGGACCACTTATAAACAGAAAGAAGTGAAGTCTAAACTGTGGCATTCTCTTATTAGACTTGGCTGGGAAGAGCACTGTATTCCTTGGATTTATTGTTGTTGTTGTTCAGTCGCACAGTCAAGTCCGACTCTTCGCGACTCCATGGAAAAGATCACGCCAGGCCTTCCTGTCTTTTGCCATCCTCTGAAGTTGGCTCAATTTCATGTTCGATGCATCTATGACACTATCTAACCATCTCATCCTTTGCCGTCCCCGTCTTCTTTGACCTTCAATCTTTCCCAGCATCAGGGTCTTCTCCAGTGAGTGCTCCCTTCTCATTTGGTGGCCAAAGTATTTGAGCTTCAGTTTCATTATCTGGCCTTCCAGGGAACAGTCAGGGTTGATTTCTTTGAGGATTGACTGATTTGTTCTTCTTGCAGTCCAAGGGACTCTCAAGAGTCTCCTCCAGCACCATAGTTCAAAAGAATCTATTCTTCGGCGCTCGGCCTTCCTTATAGTCCAACTCTCACAGCCATACATGACTACTGGGAATACCATTGCTTTGACCATGCGGACTTTTGTTGGCAGGGTGATGTCTCTACTTTTTATCATGCTGTTTAGGTTCGCCATCACTTTCCTCCCAAGGAAATCTTTTAATTTCATGGCTGCTGTCACAGTCTGCGGTGATCTGGGATCCCAGGAACGTGAAGTCTGTCACTACTTCCACGACTTCCCCTTCTATTTGCCAAGGAGTGATGGGGCCGGATGCCATGATCTTAGTTTTTTTGATGTTGAGCTTCAAGCCCACTTTTGCGCTCTCCTCTTTTACCCTGAGCAAGAGGCTCTTTAGGTCCTCTTCACTTTCTGCCATTAGAGTGGTATCGTCTGCATATCTGAGGTTGTTGATCTTTTCCCCAGCAATCTTAATTCCCGCTTGTGATTCATCCAGGCCAGCATTTCGCATGATGTACTCTGCATATATATTAAATAAGCAAGGTGACAATATACATCCTTGTCGTACTCCTTTTCCTATGCTAAACCAATCAGTTGTTCCATATCCGGTTCTAACTGTTGCTTCTTGACCCTTATACAGGTTTCTCAAGAGACATGTGAGGTGGTCTGGTACTCCCATCTCTTTAAGGACCTGCCATAGTTTGTTGTGATCCACACAGTCAAAAGCTTTAGCATAGTCAATGAAGCAGAAGTAGATATTTTTCTGGTACTCTCTTGCTTTCTCCATAATCCAGCGAATGTTGGCAATTTGATCTCTAGTTCCTCTACCTCTTCGAAACCCAGCTTGTACTTCTGGTAGTTCTCTATCCACGTACTGTTGAAGCCTAGCTTGTAGGATCTTGAGCATGACCTTGCTAGCGTGTGATATGAGTGCAATTGTGCGATAGTTTGAACATTCCTTGGCATTGCCCTTCTTTGGGATTGGAATGTATACTGATCTTTTCCAATCCTGTGGCCACTGTTGCGTTTTCCAAATTTGCTGGCAAATGGAGTGCAGAACTTTAACAGCATCATCTTCTAAGACTTTGAATAGCTCAGCTGGAATACCATCACCTCCACTAGCTTTGTTGTTAGTAATGCTTTCTAAGGCCCATTTAACTTCACATTCCAGGATGTCTGGCTCGAGGTCAGTGATTATACCGTCGTGGTTGTCAAGGACATCGAGGTCTTTCTTGTATAGTTCTTCTGTGTATTCTTGCCATCTTTTCCTAATCTCTTCTGCTTCTGTTAGGTCCCTACCGTTTTTGTCCTTTATCATGGCCAGCTTTGCATGGAACGCTCCCTTGATTTCTCCAATTTTCTTGAAGAGATCTCTAGTCCTTCCCATTCTATTGTTTTCTTCTATTACTTTGCACTGTTCATTCAGGAAGGCCTCCTTATCTCTCCTTGCTGTTCTCTGGAAATCTGCGTTCAGTTGGGTAAATCTTTCCTTTTCGCCTTTGCCTTTCGCTTTCCTTCTTTCCTCTGCTATTTGTAAAGCCTCATCAGAAAGCCACTTTGCTTTCTTACATTTCTTTTTCTTTGGGATGGTGGTGATTGCTGCCTCCTTGAAT